TTAAACATGGCAGAAATGCTGCATTACATTTGTGCAAACAGACACTGTGCATGTGCCAATAAACAACTCTTATATGCAGCATTTTTCTAAAGAACTGTCCGAGGAACTGTGCACAAAGAACAAAAAATATATAAAATAACACTTTGATTAAAAAGATTGTGCATCTGCGGGAAAATGAAGGGTCTGCAAATGGTGATATAGAGCTTATCCATGATCTCTTTTGTGAATATGCTCTCCTCAGCTCCAGGTGTAATTTGAAGTAGTGTGTTGTGTGTGTTGACAGAGTGTTTTTGTCTGCAACTGAATATAAACACTGTGCGTGTAATCTGTGTAGGAAGAAGCATTATGTGCACAGCGAGTGTCTGAACTGGGACGATGAATACATCAGGAAACACTGTCGACCTCTCAAGGTACCCAGCACTCACATCAACCAGTCAGCTTCAGCTGTGAGCTGGGACTGGTAGCTGTAGGAAATCTGATCATTTCTGTCTCTCAGCTGTACATGCAGACGCAGAACGAGGAGGAGAGGCAGTTGTTCGATCTGCTCAGCTGCATGTTGGAATATGATGTGTCCAGACGGATCACCCTGGAGGAGGCACTGTGGCACCCGTTCTTCAGCCCACTGAGGACGCAGAAGCAGCAGCAGTGCAGCTAGCTAATGCATGCATACACACACACGCACATACACACACACGCACACACATTTTCATATCTTAGTGAGGACCAGTGTCACGTCAGTGGGAGGATCCGGGGGTTTCTCTGTGAATTTCACATTCCCGTGGCAGCGTGCTCGGTGCTTGCTCAGATTCGAAGTTCAAGTTTTTGCTGTGGAAAGTAGCTTTCTTCCCACACAGACTGTACAGCGGACGCTAATGTTTTTGTCACTTTTTACGGAATAAAACGTAAAGTAATGTGAGTACGTCCATGCTTTAAATGCTGCATGGTCAAACTCTCTCCTGCATATCTCCTCCATATTATCCATTGTTGATCTACACACGTCTGTTGCTGCCACGGATGTCGCTCGTAGCACGATCTGATATC